CCTGCTTTAGGATTCAACCTCCTGGAAACACTTCCTGCAGGGGATCAACATGGCTTGCAATTAACGTGTGTTTTCTCCTGTAATCGTCACAAATATGCTGTCCGCCCCCTGCAGACAGTAAGGCATTACCAACATTTGTATAGCCACATTTCAAGTTTAGTTAAGTGCACAAAGAAAATGCACTTTTATTTTTCTATAATTTCTCTGATCTCATGAAGTTATCACCAACCCCTTCTTCCCTGCTTCCAGGCTCTGTCCCCTGCATGGGGCTGTGGAGGTGCCCAGAGGCACCACTTGGACTGGTGGCATCCCTGGGCAGGGGGTACCTGACCTGGTACCACTCCTCCGTCAGGTGTGCACTGGTCTATATCCACAAAGTGTGGTTGGTTGGCCTCATGTGGGCTCACACTGGCTTTTATGTTTTACCTGGTAATTCAGTGACCATTTCCTTTGTGCTAGCTTTGTGTCCAGTAAATATCGAACATCCAGTATGTCATTTACCCTTTGCACAACTTTCTGGAAGAGGTAATAATACTAGCAGTTAGGTCCATGGTGCTTACAGTATGTGGGGCCCTCTTCTAAGCACATCACATACTTTAACTTCTTTGATGCTCATACTAACACTGTGTGCTTGCTACTAGCATTAGCCCCGTTTCACAGATGAGGAAACTGAGGCATAGAGAAGTGATGCCACTTGCCTGCGGTTCACTGTTAGTAAGTGGGGGTGGTGGGATTCAAACCCTGGTGGTCTGGCTCCACAGTCCACGCTCCTATCTGTGACGCACTGTGGCATTGCTGCCATCTCAAGGTAAGGAACTAGAGGCTCCAAAGGTTAAGAAACTGCCCTGGGGCACGCAGTGCCCAGGAGAGTCAGTTCCTTTCCAGTCCAGGATGTCTCCTTGAGGATGAAGAGATGGCTGTTCCTTTAGGAGACATCCAGCCATCTCTGGGCCGTGGGGACAGCTATTTCAGCTGCCATGCCTTATTCTTGGCTGGGGCAAGTGTCTGCTCCTCGTGCAGCTGGGGCCGCCTCCCATAGACTTCCTGAGGGATGCTATCCCAGTCTCCACAATAAATGCAATAAATGGAGTCCTCATGGAGTAAATGCAGTAAAACAGGGAGTTGTCAGAGTTTGGGGTTGTTGAATTCCCTGGGCAGGGGCACCAGGGAGCAGGCTCCCTGTGTAAGGCAGTTAAATCATTTGTTGATTATTAATATTAAGCTTCTGTTGTCTGTGAGACACTGTACTAAGTACAGGGCATGTGGTGGTGAACAAAACTGACAACTTCCCTCCCCGAATGGCTTACATTCACTTGCAATTAACAGAAAAATAATCGTACTGGTATCCTCAAAAGAGAATTTATTGGCTTATGTGACTGGAAAAACCCAAACATCAGGCCAGCTTCAGGCTTTGCTTGATCCAGGGAGCTTAAGTTTTTAGCAACTGGCCTCTCTCCACTGCTCAGCTCTGTTGCTCTCCATGTTGTTTTTATTCTCAAGCAATGCATCAGCCTGTGGTTGCATGTGTGCGTTCATTCTCCTAGGTTCGAATCCAACAGAAGATAGGGCATACTTTTCTCTCAAATAATTTCTGGTATTAGTCCCATTATTCTGCCTTGTTGGCTCTGGTTTGGTCACATGCCCACTCCTGAACCAATCACCATGGCCAGAGGGATGAGCTCTCTGATTGGCTAGGCTTGAGTCACATGACCATCCCCAGAGCAGGGAAGAGTCTATCCCATTGCAACTGTATAGACCGAGTGGGATGGTGTGGCCTCACAAAGGAAGCTCACCATTCCCTTGCCAGAAGAAGGGCAAATGGTCCTGAGTGGGCAAGACCAATTATGTCCACCATATTGAGGAAAATAACTGGCCTAGTGGAACTCACAGTAAGTGAGACTGGCGTGAATCAAATAATGAATTTATGCTTCCAGTTGAGGTTAGTGCTACACAGGATCCCTGTGTAGCCAGTTTCAGAAGTCGTTTTGCTGGGTGGTTGCAACAATGTCATGAACAGCAGCATCAGTGATTTGAACCTGGCATGTCAGCTTGGAGCAGGCAGTCATGGGCGTGGGATGGTGCCTCTTGTGCATAATATATCTGGAACCAAGATGCTTGTCCAGAGAAACACTCGTCTCAGCAGTTAACTGTGGCTAAATTTCATTTGGAGTTATAAAAAATGAAGGCATTTGAACTCATTCATCACAATCTGTGTGGCTTTAGGATGCTCTGAGAAACTGTTGAGAATGAAGCGATTAATAATTCCAGCCCCCTTAATGATACCATCTGGAAAGTACGGCAATAAGAAAGGGGAAGGAAAGTCACAGAAATGAATGAGAAAGGTAATGGAGGAGTTGTTGGCCGGTGAGGTGTAGCTTTGGTGAAAGCTTTAAGAAATACGCATGTCAGATAAATTGAGACCATAAAAAGTAAAACGTCCTGTCTGGCCTGCCTGCCTTTCTTTTCAGGGAGAAGCTCTAACAGAAATAAAAGGAGCTCATTTGGTTACTGAGGTTCAATTCCAAGCTAACGATTTCAGGGACGGAGGTACGGAGGTGGCAGAGGGGTTGGGAACTGAATCCCGGGTCTGCTTTAGGATTTGCTAACATGTGGATTTATGGGTCCATTAGAGCAGAGGGTCTTTTGCAAGTATGCTTAAAGTGCCTTTCCTTTCCTGGGGCTGCCACCGGTTAGCACTGATGGAGCAAATATTGAGTATTTTGATAGTGAACGTGGAGTAGTTGGTGTTTGAGAGCATGTGTGTGGAATCCAGGGAGATGATTAGGCGAGGTGGCAGGAAGAATGCTCGGGAATTGTGCTCGAGGTGCAGTAACAGACAGAAGTCAGGAGCACTGGCTCCACTTCACAGGTGTGCTGGCTGCAAACTCCTGCCTGTGATGTTAATGTGGGGGTGATGGGAGCCTGGGCTTCTTTGCTGTGCCAGCGTACATGCTGCCATCTGCCTGCCCCACCTTTTCACCCTCGCCTGATGCAACTGTGGGGAAGGGGGCTGCTGCCCTGAAGGGCCTCTGTCCCCTGACCTTGGCCCTGTCTTTTTGGGCAGTGTCCCCATAGAGGGCGCTGCAGTTAGTCGGATTGCCTCTGACCTCCCAAGAAGCCTTGGACACATCAGGGACCTGTGGGCCCGCTCAGGTCCAGTGCCCTGTTCCCCTTAGTCCCCATCAAGGGCCTCCATCTGTATGCTGGGATTCTGCCTCAGTTTCCAGGTTACACCTCTGTTTGCTTCTGCCGCTGACCCTGGTGAAAAGCAGGGCAGAATGAAAACTTAAGGAGTGGAAACATCACCAATCCTTGGAAGCCCGTGTGCTTCTCACCAGGCAGCCCTCTTCCTTCCACCAGATACGATCCCTGTCCTCAGTATTTTGTCCATCATTTCTTTGCTTCATGTATTGTTTATATATTGATCTCCAAACACTAGACTGTTTAGCTTTGTGAGTTTTTCAATTTAATATAAACGGAACTATAGTGTATTTATTTTTCAGTTATTGGCTCGTTTCACACTTCATTGAAAAAAAAATTTTTTTTCTCATTGCATTTTCCCACTTCTGTTGTTGGAGAACAACAGAACAACAATGCCTATCTTTTAGTGGTTAATTCAGGTGATTTAACATGCATACTTAATATATTATAAAGTTAATATATATCTTTACCCTCTTCCTAAACAAACAGATTTTTTAAACTCCAAGCACCCTTCTCTCAACTGATAAGATGTTGTCCAGTATTATAGTTCTATCTTATTCAAACCCTCAAATTACCCATTATTATTATTATTTTGTAAGTCAATATATATTTTTATTTATTTTTTCACAAGGACACGATTTTAATAGTTACTTATATTAAGATGCAATGTCTGCTAAATTATAAAAATTGCTTTAAAAATATATTGACTTAATTGCACTCATTTCCTTTTCTTTATGTATTGACATTTTTCAAATACTGCATATTGAAATAAATTCAAAACATGATCATTACAACATGTGGTAAATAACTTCATATCTACCTAACATTGTTCTCATTCAAATTTTAAACTAATGCTTAGCGTATTAAACTTTATTGATGAAAATACTACATTCACATATTTCATAAAACCAGAGCTAGAAGGGCCTTAGAAAATAATCACACTTGCATGAAATGCTGACAAATAATTTACATATAGTTTCTATACAGTATTCTGTTCACACCATGTATAATCTTGACTTTACCAATTATAATTATAGATACACTAATGTTGAACTTACAATTTTAATGTAAGTCAATATATATTTTTAAATTGACCTACAGTAGCCATGCTCATCATTCCTTCTAGCATCTCAGATTCTCTGTGTAGGATTATATTTCTTCTAATTGAAGTATATCCTCTAGAATTTTCTTAGTAGTCAAATCTCAAAATTTTTTTTTCTGAAGGCGTCTTTATTTTCCCCTTCACCTTGAAAGAGTTTCATTAAACACCATTATTTTTTTCTCTGCACTCTGAAAATATTATCTCATTGTCCTCTGGCTTCTATTGTTGCAGGGGAGAAGTCAACCATCAGTTTAATTTTTTATTCTTTGCAGGTAATCTGCCTTTTCTCTCCGGTTGACAAAATGAGACATTGAGTAGCTTTGTGCCATTTCACTGTTATGTGTCTTTGACTAATATTCCCTCCTCTTCATTCTCCTCTCTCTTTTTTGGGATTCAGCTTATACATGTGTTAGACCTTTCATTCCATTCTCCATGTCTCTTAAGCTCCTGAGATGTAGATTAAACTTATGTCACATTTATATAAATATCCCATGGTTGTGTCATTCTTGGTCTTCACTGTGACGCTTCACTCACTTACTCCTTCTTCTCTCCTCTCACCTCATCGTCACTCCTTTCTGCTCACCTAGCATCTACCCAGCCTTCAAGGTGCACTTCCCATCCCCCTTCATTGCCTCTATAAATCCTGCCCTGACTTCTACAGGCCTCATTAATTTCCTCCTTCTTGTGTCTTTCACAGCACTTGCTGTCCTCTGCATGAGATAACTTGGTGTAGAGCAAAGAGCACTGGACTTGGAGTCCGAGGACTTGAGTTCAAATTCTGGCTCCACCACTTAATAGCTCTGTGACCTTGGGTAAGTCACTTCTCTTGCTGACCTTCAGTGTCCTCAGTTATGAACTGATGACGGTAGGGTTGTTAGGAAGGCTAAATGAGATGAGGGCCACTGAGTCCCCAGATACTGCCCAGTGCTGGCCTTGACAGAAGGCCTCTCATGTGACCCTTGGTGTATCCTTTTGCCTTTCTGCTTCAAAACAGAAACCGTTTCTGGTAGCCTAGTGGCTTGGGAGCTGGATACCAATGTCACAACTGTGGAAATGGAGCTGTGAAGCAACACTTAGGTGAAAAAGCCCTCAGTGAGTTGAAATCCCTGGCTTGTATGACTCCAATCCATACCTTTCAATCCATTTTCCACCCTTGAACATTCTCACATTCTTCTGTTTAGGGAAGATCAGTAGCTCCCCACTGCCCTCAGAATTAAGTCCATAATCCTTTTTAATGGTATGGAGAGCACTTTGGGGCCTGACCCTTGCCAGCCTCTACACATCTTGCCACTGCCCAGCTCCTACTTTTTAAAACAGTTCATTAATTTTTGGCTGCGCTGCGCAGCTTGCGGGATCTTAGTTCCCCAACCAGGGATTGAACCGGAGCCCTCAGCAGTGAAAGTGCAGAGACCTGACCACTGGACCGCCAGGGAATTCCCCCCAGCTCCTACTTTAGCCTTCCCTCCAGCCACGAAGAATCGCCTGCTCGTTCCTTTTGCAAACTGCCCTCCTTTCCTTGCCTCTCTGTTTTAAACTTTCTGTTTTCAGTCTAACTGGAGCTTCCATCCCTGGGCTCCAGGGCTGGGTGGGTCGCCTCCCTGAGCCCACGCCCTATAGCCTTTATCGCCACTAGTTACAGCGAGCACCACCCCTCCCCCGCCCGCTCTTAAAAAAATTTTGCTAATCTTGATTTCAGTCCAGAGTCAGAGATTCTGGAAGGCAGGAATTGTTTCTCATTTAATACTGACTCCCAGGTGCCCAGCATGGGACCTGGTTCCTAGAGAGTTCTTGATGAATGTTTACTGAAGGGAGGAAGGAAAAAGGAAAAAAGGAAGGAAGGAAGGAAGGAGAGAAAGTGTTTCTGGAAAAACTACATTTCCTATTGTCTGGGGGTGAGAATTGGCTCAGAAAGAACGTGTAGCTGCATACTCCAATAATCATTCCAGAGCAACTTACCCTGGAACATCGTCTGGTAAGGCCATCCCCCTCAGCAGAAGATCCTAGTCATTAGCAGAGTTAGAAAGTTTCCATGATCCCAACGGTAAGCTCACTCCCCAGCCAGAAGTGGTGAGGTGAGGCCCTCCCCTCTTTCCCTGGCCAGGAGGTTGTAGAGTATTTCAGAGAGGAGGTGGGATGGGATGGGATATGATTAATGCTAATTCCTAGTACACTTGGCTTCGAGGTGATCCAGAAGAGAGAGAGCGATGGAGAGCAGAGTGAACGGGGCAGGAAAACCTAACAGCCTCTCCTCACCATCATCCTACACGGCCCTCAGCCACCAATTAATTCTCTTAGGAGTCAGGTTTTCTGTGAAATTCTTTGCCATCCTGAACTATGAGGCTGTATCACCTTTGGTCTTGGGCCAAATTACAATTCTGATCCCCAGGTAGGTATCAAAGAGGGGGCAGAGTTCACAGATGCTTACTATTTGAGATACCTGGAGAGTCTCCCAGGAATATCCCAGGCTGGGGCCCAGGGACCCAAGTGGTCCCCTTCAGAGGAAGTCACCTTCAGCAGCCTCTGTTTGAGAGGACTGTGCGTGCGGGTAGTGAGCAGCACAGCTTGGCAGTACTATGACCATTGCTGCTACCAGCTCAAGGTAACATCCAACACTAGCATGTGTGTAGTGTACTCAGTGTATCCAGTGCAAATGAGTTACATTGTATCGGGTAGTCATTATGTTCTCAGGCACATTCACATGTGTGATAAGCACATTTATGCCTTAACGTAATGAATTCTCAAACAACCGTATGATGTAGGTGTTATAATCAGTACCACTTAATAGATGAGGTCACTGAACTGGGTTTCAGAGGGGCTTAAGTGACCTTCCCAAAGCTACCTATTGATCAAGTCCTTGAGCTGTGATTTTAGTCCATGTGCACGATCACTGCTCCAAACAAGCCCCCAACATTCCAGGCACTTGGAATACAAAGATAAGATTTCTGTGTCTGTTCAGGTCTTCCAGAAGCAGAAGTCCAAGAGCTTTATTGGAGGAAATGTCTGTGAAGGATAAAGGGGAGACAGAGCAGGACAGATGGGGAGAGTCTTCTGAACATGGTACAGGTCTGACACCTGTGAAGGAGCAGAGGGAAGGAAGGACAGATTATTGGGAGGAAGAACCTGATATGGGAGTGCAGCTCAGAGAACATCTTGGTCAGGTTGATGGGAAGCTCTTGAGGAAAGACTGCTTGCTAGAGGAGTCCCACATTGGGTAGGCATGGCAGCTCTGGTACCCCTTGGGCTCCGTCATAGTACCCCTTGTCCGAGTCAGGCACATAGTACCCCCTGTGCACAGTGGATCCTGAAGGACTAGCAGCTGGAGGCTGTCAGCTCACCAGCATTGCTGCTCCTTGAAGCAGGGTCTCTCTGTAAGGGAGGCTGAACAGAACACTCCCACGGCCATCACAGGCTCTGTCCTTGAGCTATTCCCAGCCACTTTACTAACATACCGTAGAGTTTGGACAGAAAGTTATAAAAGTCCAGAGGTGGGACGTTCTAGGAGCCTCCTGGGATAAAAATGATTTCCTGACGGGGTTAAGCAAGTTGTACACTGAATAAAGGGAAGCCAAGGGGGCTAGTTTGGGGGAGAATGGATTGAAATACAGAAAAGTGAGCTTAGCCATTTTGGCCCAGGGAGGCACCCTTTTCTAGTTCAATCACCCAGAGGGACATCTTTTTCTAACCCACACAAAGGTAGAGTGTAGGTGACCAGCAGCCTGTGATTCCTGGGAGAAAAGAGGAATCCTTCAATGAGGATTCAGGGTCAGCTGGGACAAATCGGGCATTCAGAGCCTGGTGTCCGTTGTTCCTGAGCCAGGCTCTGCCAGACGGAGGTCAGTGGGAAGCCCTTCAAGGGTTTTAGATGGCAGAGATGCATGGCATTGTCATTTTGGGGTTACTGGTCACTTTTGTGTATTAAAAAGTCAGGTCATATTTAAGTTTGTTCGGTCTCCCGCCCACTGTAACACTCCCCTCCTCTCCAACTCCCAAGTCTAGGCTGGGCTTCAGCTTGAGGTACTTGGAGTTGGGACAGAGGTGACATCTTCTGGTCCTTCTTCCTCACAGCCCTTGGCTCCATCTCTGTTTCCCCTTGCTTACCTCCTTGCCCTAGACACCTTTAGGGTCTAGGTCCTCTGGTATTGGGCCAGGGAGGAGGGTGGGGGACAGTGCTGAGTCTTCTGACAAACCCTGGGTGTGCCCTTTCGGTTGCTCCTCTTTTGGCTGTCCCTGCCTCTCTGGCTGAACCCACCGAGGCCATCCAAGGAGCATCCTCCCTCCTGCATGGCATGTATGTGTGATTCTTTGGGCACCCCGCGGTGGGAGTGCTTCCCACCCTCTTCTCTCCTTCTCTCTCCCTGGTTTTCTGCTTATACAGCCTGGTTGGGGAGCGGGTGGCTGGCTTGATTGCCTCTTGGTAAGTCCTGGGCAAGGAGGAAAGAGGTGGCCCCCATTTGTGTTGGCTGTCTTAAAAGGGGGACATGTGCCAGTGTGGTTGCTTCTGTGTCCTCTGCTTTGGGCACAAGGAAGTCCTGCCACACCTCCTGTTAAGTAGGAAGGATATGGGAAGGGAGTGTCCCTACAGTGAAGCATGGCAATGGCACCAGGGGTGCGGTGCGGGGGAGTCACAGCGTGCCGTGCCTTCAGGGTCATGATGATGAGCAGCCCATCTACCTTCTACCCTCTGCTATGTGACTGGCAATAAATAATCCCGCTGAATGAATGCAGATGGCAAACAAGTAGGTGTGTAAGAGGACATTGTGTTGCAATTTACCTTTCCCCCAAATAACAGCTGAGAGCAGGAGCCCACATTTCTATAGCTCTTCTGTTTATGAAATTAGTTTCAATTCTTGGTCTCACTTGAAAGTCGTGATGCGCCCTTGAAGTAGGTAGATTAAGATTGCCACGTAAACGTCAAAGGACACTGGGGAAGTTGAGGGCTTGGCTGAAGGTCCCATGCGCAGGTGAGGGCAGAGGTGGGCAGGGCATCTAGGTCTCCTGACACCCCTCCTCTTCCCACCGCCACCCCCTCTAGAGCCTGACCTACCAGACACATGGCCTCTCGTTCACTCCCTAGAGGAGAGCAGCTCCTGAAGAGCCTTTTGGGGGATTGACCCTGATGTACAAACACCTCCAAGGTCAGACCTGACTCTCCTAACTGTGGTGAAATCACATTGTGTAGGACTGCAGAACCTGAGGACGTTTTGTTCTTTGAGCCGAAGTGGAGCTTAATTATGTGCCCCTATTAAGAAACTGTTTGCCTGGTGTCCACAGGTAGACAGAGGAAGTCTTTTTACTTCTTAAGAGGAAATACTGTTTTCAGGTGCTCACTCATGGGTACCAGAGAGATAACCGAGGCAGTAATCGTAAGTCATTCCGGTCTGGTCATTAAAGCAGTACTCTTAAGACTCTCCACAGGGCAATTCTTGTTGACTTGTATTTGTAATCGATAGGTGCTATAATTCCAGCTCATTACTAATTCTTTGCTTACCCAGTTTTACCCAATTAATCCAAATTAGTGTGGCTTAATTTGGGGGAAAGCTTGCTAAATTGGGGTCCAAGTAGCAACTCTGTCCCCAGGCTCACTGCTAGTTGCTCCGGGCCAAGGTGTCTCCTCAGTAGAATAAGTGAAGTGCTGGACAGCTCCTGAGGCCCCTCCCTTCTCTAGACCTTTGACCAAGGCTGAGGGGCAGGAATGATCTGGGGAGGGTAGCTGGCTGGGGAAGGGGTTGCAGAATCTGCTGACTTGTTTCTTTTTTTAAAAAAAACAGGAATTATCAGCCGAGAAGATGCTGAAGATCTCCTTGAGAATATGACTGAGGGCGCATTTCTGGTCCGGGTCAGTGAGAAAATCTGGGGTTACACCCTCTCCTACCGCCTGCAGAAAGGGTTCAAGCATTTTCTCGTGGATGCCTCTGGGGATTTTTACAGCTTCTTGGGAGTGGACCCCAATCGCCATGCAACGCTCACGGATCTCATTGATTTCCACAAGGTATCCCTCTTAGGGGTGCTGATGGGGGTGGGCAGGGAGAGGCAGGCTGTGGGCATTCTAAGAGATGGGGATGGAGAGTGAGCAAGCAGCCCCAGAAGGTCCTTAGGGTCACAGGGATCTAGACCATGCTGGCAGAAGAGACAAGAGGTGGTCTAGACCAGGCTCTGGGGCCACTGCTCTTCTCTGGCTGACCCTCTACTCATGCGGGCACCTCAAACGCCTGTCTCCAAGCCGCTTCTCACCTTGAGTACCTGAGTGCTGCCTGCTGTCAACACTTAGGGGCTGGTTGACCTGCCTTCTGTCCCAGCCCATGTCTCACCCCCAGCTTTTTCCAGGGTGTCCCTCTTGAGGACATTCTAGGCAGGCCTTCAACAGCTTCGTCAAGTTAGCTGGGCAGGCAACCCTGTGGTTAGAGAAGCTTTTCAGTTACAATGCCTCTTGTTCCAACGATAGCTTTGCCACTTAGTGTGTGTGTGACCTCAGGCAGCTTCCTTAGTCTCACTGAGCTTTAGTTTGCTAACCGGGCAAATGGATGTAAATAATACTTAACTCAGATCCTGTGAGTGTTAAATGGGGGGATGTACATAACGGCGCCCTGTAACTGTGAAGTGGTATGTATGCATGTTCTTGTTTCCCACAACTCTTTCTTATTTGTTCCCCTGTCGTGGACCTCACATTGTGAAAGATGTTTTCTTCCAAACGATGTATATAAAAAGAAACAACTTTTGTGTTAACGTGGCTGTTGGCATTAGTAGTAACTGGGAGAAAGCCAGAGGTGAAGCTCAGTGACCCGGAATGGGGGGGCGGCTCAGGATTCCGGGAGACAGAGCTGTGGCAGCTCAGGGGTCCCCCATCTCCCTGAGCTTTGCAGGCGTAGAAATGTTCACAGCATTACTTGACCGCCTCACTGGGCTTTTGCTATAACAGAGACTTGGATTTGTATTACTTTTTCTTCATGGATGTCCCCAGGGCTCTAGGGCAGCTCTTAACTTGAACTTATAAGTAAAGCACATAGAAAACCACCCAATTACAAACACCTAGATGCTGGGAGGAGAGGACTGCTCAGAAAACTAGGCTAACCAGGATCAAAGCAGATTTCTACTTGCATCAGGAAGAGCCTTCTAACAACTATAGGAAAGAGGAAGGAGGGGTGCGTGGATATTGGTACCTTCTCTGTGTCGATCGCTGTGCCTGTTGCTCTCATCCATGTTCTCATTTAATCTTCACCATGGCTCTGGGAGGGAGGCATATTAGTCCCATTTCACAGATCAGGAAACCAAGGTCAGGGAGTTTAAGTAACTTGTCTAAGTTTTCATGGCTGGTACCAGCTAGATCCAGGAGATAAGCCCCAGGCTGTCTGCGTCTAAAGCTTATGCTTGTTCCTCTAAGCCACGTTGTGTGCTCTCTCTGTCCAATACAAGCTGCTTAGCAGTGATGATCTCCTTGTCCCTGGAAGGGTGAATGTCCGTCTCTCAGAGATGCTATGGACAGGTTCCTGCATAGGAAGGCTAGACCAGATGTCTTTGGAGGTCTTTACCCTCTCCCAAATGTAGGGTCTGAGGCTGGCAACTGAGTTTCTAACACCGAAGAGAGATCTTGTCTATGCCCCTGTGTAGATCTGGTGGTCAGCTTTTATAAATTAACATTTTAATTACACAATTAACTTATGATTTCATTCTAAGAAAAATCAAATACAGTACAAAGCGGAAGTCTTGTTCATTTCAAGCCCCCATTTTTATCCTCCATCTTGAATTACCAGTCTGCTGTTTCCCTATCCAGGTATTTCCTGGGCATTAATGTAGAAATTTATGTACACGAATTTTTTTGTTATGCATATAACAAAATGTATGTCCATAGTTTTGTTATTTTTCACACAAATTGGATAATCCTTTACCAAGAGCTTAGCAATTGGATTTTTAAAAACTTGCTTAATATTTCATAGAATGTATTTTTTGAAAGCATGGTCCCTGAAATCGGGCTGCCAAGTTTTTTTTTTTTTTTTGCAGTACACAGGCCTTTCACTATTGGGGCCTCCCCCGTCTCGGAGCACAGGCTCCGGACACGCAGGCTCAGCGGCCATGGCTCACGGGCCCAGCCGCTCCGCGGCATGTGGGATCTTCCCGGACCGGGGCACGAACCCGTGTCCCCTGCATCGGCAGGCGGACTCTCAACCACTGCGCCACCAGGGAAGCCCCGGGCTGCCAAGTTTTAAATCCCAGCTTCATTACTGTGTGTGACTTTGGGCAACTATTCAAATTTGGGACCTTAGTCTCCTCCTCAGTAAGGTAGGTTTAAGAATAGGACTCACCTCTCAGGGTCACTGGGAGGCTTCAATAAGATATCACTGTGTAAAGCACTAGAACAACACACCTGACATTTGTAAGCTGTCAGGACATGCTGGCTGTTACTGACATACACCTGTGGGATCTTTTCATGTCCGTGCACACACGGCATCCTTGGTGTGGATGTATCTTTCAGTTTCGTGCTCCATCCTCCTCTTGCTTGTCACTTATGTAGCTTCCAGGTTTTCGTGGCCGCAAACAGTGCTGCAGAGACTTGCTTGCATGTGTCACTTTGGGCGCATGTGCAAGTCCTTCTCTGGGATGGATCCCTCAAACTGGAATTGCTGGATAGGAGACTAAGCACATTTTATTTTGAAAAGATCTGCCAGATTGCCCTCCAGAAATGTAGCGCCAATTCATGCTTCTTCCCAAACTCTATGAGGCTGTTTCCCCACACTGCTGCCAATACTGGGGATTATCAGTCATTTTAATGTTTTCCTATAAGATGGGCAGTGTATCTCACTGTTGTTTAGCTTGTATTCCTCTGATTACCACTGATGCTGAGGATTTTTTCATATGTTCAATGGCCACTTGGATTTCTTCTGTGGATTGTGTTAATGTCTTTTGTCCATTTTTCTCCTTAGGTGTCTCTTTCTTATTGATGTGTCAATTCTTCTGGCGACTAAATTGCTCTTTAGTTACGTCCATTCTGCTCTCCAGGTCTTCCCCTGAAAAAAATTTTTTTAACTTAAATGGGCATCCCTTTCATTTCCAGGTTTTTAAACTGGTTCTTCTATTTTATAATAGTCCATTCTTGTCTCATGGACGATTTATCTTCTTATTCCAGTGAGGAGATTAATACGCATCTCTTAAAGACTCTTTCTGTTTGTTTTATAAACCTGATATTTTCTTGGGAGTCATTTCGATTGTTGAGTTTGGCATCTTTCTTTTATGGTTATGATCTTCCTTAAATGTTTATAAATTTGGGGCTTTGAGGGGATCTTTGAACTTTGAAATTCCTGTTTATTCATCCGTGGATATAGTCCCTGTTTCCCAAATCCAATCTGTTCATGAAGTGAGGGACGGAATTGACGGTGAGTAGTTCATCCTTGGGCGTGGAGATGTCTGAACTAGTTGGATCTCTTTGGTTTCCCAAGGAACTGCGTGCCTCTCCTCACTTCCTGACCTGCCTGAGGCAGAGCCCTCTGCCACCTGGAGTTCCCCAGCCTGTCCCACTGACACTTGTTCTTGCCCCTGCCCCACATTCACTCCTCTGACAATCTCATCCTGTATTGCCTTTGGTTTTCAAGTGTTCGCCAACATTTTTGTTCTGTTGGTGGTCCTCCTTCTTATTTTCCCATGCTTTTATGGATTTATTTCTTTTTAAAAGCAAATTTTCCCTGCCATTTCTATAAATTTGAATGCAGAGGAGGCAGATACATATTCTTAGTCTTTCTATCTCAAACTGGTCTCTCTCTGGTGGACCTTTATTTCCTTTTTTTGATTATAAGTGAATTTTCCGTTTTTTTTAGGAGGAAATTATCACTGTTTCAGGGGGAGAGTTGCTGCAGGAACCCTGTGGACAGAGGGACAGCCCACCAGACTATCATCTGTTGTTTGAATGATATTTTTCCCCTTCTCAATTGGACTCCGTGGGGCATCCTATTTTTGAACTCAAGAACTTCCCAGCTCAAATTCTTATGGCCTTCTGGAAGATCCACCACCATCCACAGGGACAAGTAGATTAGCATATTTCAAGGAATATGAAATATATGGTGTACGTGCTGCTGGTTCCTGACCCAGTGCCCAGGACAGAAATTGCTAACAGCTGGTGCAACTCTTTCCTGAAAAATTTAGATACAACCTCAGAAGATGAAGCCTTTTTGTCATGGCTGCCCTGAACTGAATTCCTAGAATACAAGGATCATGTTTTAATTATACAAATAATTCCAGTGCCGAACTCTGAGTTTAACATATGGTAGACATTCAATAAATGTTTGTTGAATGACTGCACTTCTTCTGAAAGTTTTCCAACACTCATCAGCAACGATTTCTAGTAAGTTGTTTTCTATTTGTCACTGTTTATAAAGTCATGGGGATTAGAGAAGAAATATTGTAAAGGATTTATATGGAAGGCATAGATACTGTGTTTTAAATGATACTCATTGTCACTCTCATTGATATTATCAGTGGAATTACCTAAGGCGTCTGAGCCCCAGCTTCCAGAAGAGATGACTGATACTGCCCTGCCTTCGTATTTCCCTCTTCTGCCATCCCTCCTCTGTCTTGGAATCATATCTTGGCCCTGGTTTTGCAATATTGAGGCAGTGGTTTCATGTATTCCTACAGATATGCCTAAGCCCCAGGGGGAATTATAAATTCAAGAATGGCTTGTAGACATCTGATAAGGCCTTTGCTTTCTAGGATGTGGTCCTGTTTATGCAGGTTACTCAAATGATTACCTCTGCCTTCCTACTTCTTTTGATTTTGATTCTACTGTCCATTTATACTGAGTGTGTTCTTCATATTAACAAGAAGACTCTCCCAGTAACTCAGTAACTTTCAGCGATGGTGTCTATTTGTGCATACTCGTATTTTATATTTATGGAT